AAATGACGAAGGAGATGAAGTTGGTTGTTTGGACGAGCTGCTGGTCGACGACGAGCTGCTGGTAGTGAGGGGGAAGGCAGTTGAAGACGAAGCAGCAGCCATGGTGGTCGTGGGGCTGCTCCAGGTTGTCGTGACGATGTTGAAGACGAAGAAGAAGGAACAACAACCATGGTTGCTGGAGAGCTCGTTTTGGACTGGAGGTCGACGTGGTCGTTCATGGTGGTTCGTCCATGGCTGGAGTTGAAGACGAAGAAGGTGAAGCAGAAAGGGTGCTCGACGGAGCAGCCGGTGAAGCTGCACGAAGCAGCAGCTCACGTCGAGGAATGGGGAGGAGCAGGGACGACGGGGAGGGCAGCCATGGATGGCGAGGTCGTTTGGAGCTGGAGTTGGAGAGGTAGGCAGCCATGGAGGTGAGGGGGCAAGGGAGGGTGCTGCGAAGAAGACGATGCAGTAGGGGGGCGGGGGGCTTTTTTAGGGTTTTGGGGTTGGAAAAAATGAAAAAAATGAAAATGGGGGGTTATTTCGTTTGGGTTATGGGGCGGACTGGGTCGGGTCGACCCGGTAGGGGTTATTTGGTTTGGGCCTGGTTGATTTAAATTAAAAGGTGGCCCAATCCGATTTTCTTCTTATTTCCATTGCTTCTTTTTTTCTTTTATTTTTTCTTAAAATTAACTAAATTCTAAAAATCCTAAATTATCCTATAGAACTAAATTCATTTATAAAAGTGCTAATTAACTCTTAATAACAATTTACACACAATTAAATAGCAATTACGATAAAATCACACAATTTGGACATTAAATGCTAAAAATACAACGTACATTATTTTTATGATTTTTTGTTCTTGTAAAACAAACTTAATTGCTCCTAATTGTAGAATTAAATCCTAAATGCAAATGCGACATATTTTTGTATTTTTTATTAATTTAACAAATAAACATGCACGGACAAATACAAATAATTATCCAAAAATGCCACGAAAATTCTCAAAATTGCACACAAAGGAAAATTGTTTTATTTTGAATTTTTTGGAATAATTCTCACATAGGGCAAAAATCATGTGCTTACACTATGCAATTGCTGAGTTTGAGCAAATTGTATCCTCCCTCACTCACCCCCGGCTTAAAAATAGAAAAGAGAAGTATCAACTAGTGCTGAACAATATGTTCTACTTTCTCATTAGACATCCCACTGAATACTAACTCGGAAGTTACTAGTAAGCAGGGGCGGATTTAGGGGGGCGGAACCCGAACCCCTTTCGCCGAAAAATTACACTGTACATTTAAGGTAAAATTCAGTTTTGTGCCTCTATATATTATATTTTGAATACCCTTGACACAACCCAAAAGCATAGCTCAGTGTCAAAGGGGTTCAAAACCTGGTTCAACTCCCACTGTCCACAGTCTCTTTTGATTTTTTAACTTTTTCTTTTTTGAACCCCTTAGCGGAAATTCTGACTCTGCCACTGCTAGTAAGTTGTTTATGCTACCCCATCTTCTCAGTTGCCCCACATATGTAAACTTCCACTTTTGAGTTGTAAGGTAGTAAAGAACTTGATATTTATTAAGGTAAAGTCTGTGTAGTATATAATAATTCCCAAAAAAAAGCCCGAGTCGACTGAACCTTCCATATGCTTCTTTTATCCAGCAGCAGGAAGCTAGTTTGATCTGATTGTGGTTAACTTATGTGTTTGTCTTGATGTCTATATGCGTAACCATCTGTGGACCAGTTATCAAAGTGAAGAGCTTATTTTTTGACTTGTTTAAATCCCCTTTCTCAAGGTAGGGATAAGGTCAGCCTAGACATTATCCTCCCCAGACCCCACTTGTGGTTACATTGGGTTCGTTGTTTTTGTTGTTTAAATCCCAGAGCTTTTAGGCTTAGAGTTCCTTTCATCATTTTAAATTGTTGACAATATTCGCCCTTTCAACCATAGACTGCACTGCTCAACATTTCAGCTTTGGGATTTATATCTAAGTTGATTGAACATTTTTTTTAGGTGACAGTGGAGAACCAGAGTTATCACAAGTCATGTTTCAAGTGTTCTCATGGCGGATGCTCTTTAAATCCTTCGAATTATGCTGCACTAGACGGTATTTTATACTGCAAACCTCACTTTTCACAGCTTTTCAAGGAGAAAGGCAGCTACAATCATTTAATCAAGTGTGCTTCAGTGAAGCGTCCAGCAGCAACTGTTCCAGATTCTTAAACTAATATCTCTGTCAACTATATTTCCACGCGGGCTTGGTCTTATTAACTTTAAAGTTTTCTTCCTCTTTATTTATATCTCCGGGTGGTGCCCCATCTTGGTTTACTGTGTGATCTGATTTCCACGATTGTGACAACTATTATCCTGTCGTTGTTCCTTTAACCTTTGGATGTTAAACGATCCTGCTGTTTTCTCATGGCCTTTGGCAGGAGTAAGTTGTGCAGTTCAGACGAGTGTTGGTACATTGTAGTCCTGTCGTGCTGTTCTTTATCTTTGTTTCGGTTGAGTTGTTGATATGCAATTTCCAGTTATTGACAGTAACATTATACTGGTTAAGCTAGGTAATTAGAGCATATCAATGTGGTTTATGTACCTACATAGACATGTCAAAGGAAAACAATGATGGGTTGAACTTCAAGTTAATTCAATTAGTCACTGCTTTTACTAAAAGATGCTTGTGCGTGAAGTTTTCTGCTTGTATGTGGCTGTGATTTTACTCTAATAGGTTAACTCTAGCAATAAATTATGTCACATTACTATACTAGAGTTCAATCGCAGTGTTTTCACCTCATCTGTGTAATTTTACCCCCAAAAAACGACCCTTGTAAAAGATTGTTAACGTCGATAGGTAATCGATTACACATTCTTCAAGCAGGACTGCCATGCTTCGAGACTGACAGGATTCGGAAGAAGCAGTACACATGTCACCTTACGCGAATCCTACATAAGAATAGAAGAGGAAAGTGAAGAACTTTATAAAGTACAACACAAGTTCACATGATACGCTTGCTTTTGAGGCTCGATGTGGTGTAGTCCGAAAGACAATCCGCGCAGGCGTGACAGCAGATTCCAATTACCATAACCATTGCTCTTTGGAACATGAAGCTAGTCCATTGGAAAATCAAGTGATAATCAGCAGTTTATAGTCCTTCACATAGCAGAAATCAGCAATTTATAGGCAGAAATCAGCAATTTATAGTCCTTTTCGAAACATTCGCCATGAACCTAAAACGTAACGCGTGAGAACCACTTCTTTTTAATAGTGGTGTTCGAGATACCACCAAATACCTGCTATCTCCCACTAAACACTTCTTTTTTAAGTCCACTCTCCCTTAGAAAACAGAGTTCCTCGAAAGTGGATTTCGAAATTACATAGGTGAATGTAGAGATCACTGGTGACCTACCCAAAAACAAAGTACTTGTCGTCCCCAAACCAAAAGGGATGAGGGAAAAAGGCTCGAGAAAGCAACCAAGACTTAGGTAGATAGAACGAAATCACATAGTATAAAAGAAGCCATTTGCAGATCTCTAATTTTGAGATCCTCTCATTAATAAATCAATTTGACAACTATAGGTAACATATTGTGTAGTCCCAATTTTACAATCTTCCTGAAAGAATAAAAACAAAACATATCTATACTATCCATGCCAGGAGAGAATGGATAGACAAATCAAGTACTAATTTCTTAAAGACTTCCTATTCAACCTACTTTTGTCTCTTGGCTGATACAGATGGAAGTCTGATTTCCCAGGTTTCCGGGGAAAAAGATACAAATTCGAGGAAAAAAATCCGTGACACCAATTGCAAGAGCATGATCCGACTTGCCTCGTGAAAGTTGAACTATTTCTTCAACAGACAATTAATGCCAGAAGTTGCAAGTTGATGATTTTTCAATGTTCATTTACTACGTTTCTTTGCTTCGCTATAGAGTATGACCCCAAAAACTGTCAGTGCATAGCCGAGCATCCCAGTAACTGACACCGGGTTTCTGAATATTAAGATTGAGATGACAACGGCTACTGCTCCTTTTGCATTTCCCAGGACCTATGAAAACAAGCAATTTTGTCATAAGGACAAAGAATCTATAGAAGAGATCAATACAAGGCACATTCCTCCTTAACCAACAAGACAAAGGTAATAACAATGAACAGCAAAACCCAATGTAGAGAAATTATGAAACCACAATAATTGAAGGGAACAAATATTAGTAGGGTAGACCATTCATGGGTTTATACTCCTCTCTGTTCCAATTTTAAGTTACTCAAATTCCTATCTAGTCCATTAAAATTACATGATACCTTTTTTTCAAATTAAAGAGTTCCTCATTTCCAAAATGTAACATTTTTTTCATGATCGAAAATTCCGTCTGGAGCCAACCCTTTAGGCCAACAGCAGCCTTCGAAACTTAGGGATGATGGGCCCCTCCTCTATCATTCTCCACTTAATTACAGAATTAGTTCACTTGGCGCAAGGCTCGAACCTGTGACCTACAACATTCAGTATAATAACCTAAGTGAACTCTTCTTCGTTGTTTTTTATGTGATAAATCCCCAGCCATTCATAAGAGGATGAATCTTGAAAAGCAACTCTTTTTTTTTCCCTCTTTTTCAGTAAATAGAGGAACATTGTGAAGTGAAAAGTTATCTCCATTCCTTAACAGGTTTGTCACAGGAAGAGCAAATTCCCTATATAGGGCTAAGCTTGAGTACTTCTAATCCTCTCCAAACTTCAAGTGGGCGCCTTGCAGCACCCCCCTCATCTTTATTCTTTCCTTGTGTACTTGTGTAATTTTTCCAACTGTTTACCTCACCTACCTGATACCTTACTTCGTGGTAGTATCTATGACAACTGGAGAAGTGCAAGTTCATTCATTTGCACATAAAATTCCTAGTACTATAAGTTGGAACAATCAATTGAAAACCAGCATACACAAAGACTCCAAAATGTTTGAATAGCAAATCGATAGTAAACCAAACATCAGACAGATATCATAGATGAAAACATTGAAGCTTTAAGAAGACTGTTTACTAGCAAGGAAGACAATGAAAAGCGCCTCCCAGAAAATCAAATGATCAAACTAAGAGCTATATTTGATGAAGCAAGGAAAGAAACAAGATTTTCGAATAAGAATAAGTAGGTCCATGCATAAGTTATGGAGTTATCCTGACATTCAAAGATGAACAGTTTCACAACATAGAGAGGATCATATCATAATTTCTTTATTTTTTCTAATGGAGATATTTGGCATAAGTCAACCTTATCTGACAATATTAAAGACTAATTCATATGAAAAGAAATCTGACTAGTGAATGAAGAAGAGTACCTGAAGCGTTAGAGCACTGGTGTGCTTTGTCACCAGAAAGTTGGTGAGGTTTACAAAATATGCAAGGGCAGAATTGAATAGCAAAAGCCAGATGATTCTACTATCATCTCTTGCAAGTGCCAATGTTATGCCAACTACGTTTTCTTCCATCATAAGGGTCGCCGGTAATAGAAATACAACTGCTATAGGAGCCATATAGAGTAGAAGGTTCATGGAATTCAGCTTCTCCCTTAATTCAAAAGAAAACAGTTCAGCATTCATATACTACGCCCAAAATGTTCACATCAAAAAGCACAAAACTTGGCTACAGATCACTCGTGTATAAAACATAAAAGTTTATGTAATAATAATCACCCTTCAGAAGACAGCAAAATCCCCTGAAGCACTGACTTGAGTGCTCTTGCAGCTGTTGCACCGACACATATTATGAATCCAAATAGATGAAAACTTGGTTCACCCTAAGAAGATAAATTGAAATGAATCAGACAACATTACACTAATAACGTGAAACTGCTAATACAATTTAGTCATTTAGAATATCAATGCAGTGCTTTTCATACACCTAGCTCAGACGATATTTCTTTCATGCCCTAAACATTATGCTACTATTAAAAATATAATCTGAAGAAGAACTTGTTCTTAATCACAAATTGACCAAAACAATCACGCTAACTAGGAAATAAATGCTAAAACACTTCTCTTGTAGCAAATTCATTCATCATAACACAGCTTGTATGATCATATCACGGTAATACAATATATAAGGACGGCTTCTACAAAGAGTATTACACCTTTGGTCATAAAAATCAAGGACGGCTTCATGGACAATATCTTCATAGCTAACACGACGATTCTCCTCTTTATATTCCCAACACCAT